AGAAATATTACCCTGCACAAATTATATGCTACACCGAGGTAATTATTATCAAGATTACCGTTTGTCATTATATTTTATCTTTCTCAAAAATGGTTACAAAAAATTTCAGCCAGACAAATACAGAGTTAAACTTTGTTATGGGGCGTTCAGATGGATTTCTAGGAAGGAATTCTACACGAGATACGAAGAAGAATTTCAAACATGCCAGGTAATTGATTTAATAATTTAAAGATTAAAATATATGAATATATTTGATTAACTTGGTTTATCAATTTCGTTAAGTTGGGTGAATTTATTATGGATGAAGATGAAGAGGATCAGAATCATAATGATCCTGAACTTATTAAGAAAGTTCATAACCTTGAGGACGAGTTATATCAGGTTTTGATTGGCATGGATGAATCAGCATGGAGGTATAAGCATTTTGTCGAAGGAGGAAAGAAACGACGATTACTTGCTCATAAAGTATCAGCCGGTCCGTACAACAAAAATGAGTACACTATGGTTGCGAGGGTTTTGAGAGGTATGTTTGTTCCAAAGGTTGCAGAATCAATCGATCGAAACAAAGTGATCTCCTCGCCCAAGAAGAACAGGGAAGTCAAAATACTGCGACAAAATGATGGAGCGCAACCAGCATTTTATAGGTATTCAGAGGAATTAAAACTTCGATTCGTTAATGACGTTTTGCTTCCTGAAACCATAATAAGATTAATTATGGAAAAAGAAGAAATTGATTATGAGACAGCGGAGGATAAAATGCTGACGGGAAATAGGGAGGATGAATGGGTGGAAGATCTCCTTGCCGAAAGAACCAGTTTTCAGGTTGGTAGAGAAAGTTTACGTGAAAAAGCATAATTATTATTCGTTCATATACAAGCGAGAACGAAAGAATTTCAGATTCGTTAGTGAACAATTGATTTTGTCCAAGAATCCAAGTGTAGACATGAGTGATGGGTTATAATGCCTTTGCAACTCGATAATTTAACAATATGCATCAATATTTATTACAAATGGATATGTTTTGAAATATTCGATTTTTCAAATAAATGATAACGCGCAAACAGTCACATGTTTCAGTTGACATAAATCCCCTACAGTTTCTACACATTGACCATTTTATTTGTCTTCGAGTCATGTTTCACGGATAATTGATAAAGGAATTGGGAATTTTGATTTTAATGGGTGAATGTAGCGATAGTACGAAAGATAAACCTAACTCTAAGCTACTGTAATTATTCCTCGACCGAGATATTCGCCAGCGATCTGATACGTAAAGTTAGATAATTAAAAATACATAATTAAGGGTAAAAGATACTGCACATATACATCAATATATATCAAAATATACAGTATATAATTAATTACTTGCTTATCTCTATTAAATACTTCACGAATCGCTAACTAATCTTCCCAAATTCCATAATAATGTAACCTAATTCCCTCATTAATAACTCTTTATAATTTCCCGCAATCTGCTTTTCGATTTCCAACCCGCGTCGTTTTGCGTATTTCTTCATCACATTCAAATGTTGCCAAACACTTCCGTAACTAACATATTCAAACTGCTTCAGCTCCGTGCCACAGTCTTTCAGAAATGCGTCAATTGCTAAGGAAGTGAATGCACAATCGGTTTTCAGTACCAGAGTTTTCAAATTTATAGGAATTGTTTGTCTCAAGCTCAACAATAATTCATCGTCAGTGTCTTGAACGAAAAAGAAAAGACGTTCGGGTGGTGAGCCGTAAATCTTCAGAGAATGCAGATTGCGACAAGATCTAAGTAAGGTTGCTAGTTGTGAGAGCTTGTCTTTTTTCGTGCGAACTTTAAGATAAGTTATATTCAGACAATGACTCGCTATGCTTTCGAGTATTTTTGGTATTCGAAAGCGACCACCCGTACTTTCAACATGCAAACTTCGTAAATTTATGTTGGACCATTTAAAGATGACATCCAATGATTCACTGGATATATAAGTCCCTTGTAGATCTAAATTGATCAAATCTAGAAATACAGG